GGCCTTCGCGGACCTCAAAAACCTATTCACGATGCCTTCGGTCATCGTGCGGACCATGGTCGCCTGCGGGATAGAGCAAAACGATATTTTAGAACCAAGAAAAATTTTGGCATGACTTTCCCTAAAAATAGGACCAAAAAGAATGCTTAATGCCAAAATTCTCGCCGAAACGGAAATGAATCAACATTCCGGTAAAATATTGGCAACTATCGCATTTCAAATATCGGTACACCTTCAAACACAAACACATATGGAACACCACAAATATATGCAACACCACGAACATACATAGATCTAGCTAGGCCATAAAAAGTGCATGTGCACATTGTTGTAGGGAGAACAACATAAATATAGCTTCCCCCCTTACTTACCTATCAAAACAAGGTAATTAAACCACTTAATTTGAATGAATTTATGGTGGAAATGAGGTGAAAAAGAGGAGGCACCCGAGACAAGGAGGAGGCGGTGGAGAGAATGAAGTGGGGGGAAAGTGAGTGTGGGTAGGAGAGGTTGTCCAAAATATCTTGTTGCTGCCCACTTACTAATGACGCACCAACCACAAATGCGCCATTAGTAATCCAGGTTACTAATGGCGCACCTTCTGGTGGTGTGCCATTAGTACTTTTGCAAAAAAAAAACATACTAATGGCGCACTGCTCCGGAGTGCGCCATTACTAGTTTAATGGCGCACGGTGGAAAAGTGTGCCATTAGTAGTTTTGTAAAAAAAAGAATAAAAAATATAATTAAAAAAACAACATTAGTGGCGCACTTTCTGGCAGGTACGCCATTACTAGTTACAACTAGTAATGGCGCACTCCGTCTGGATGCGCCATTAGTATGTTTGGACAGCCGCACTAGTTCAAAAAAAAATATTGATACTAATGGCGCACCTTGGGCATGGTGCGCCATTAGTAGTTTCAACACTAATGGCGTAGAAGAAGGTGGTGCACCATTAGTATATACTGATGGCACACCTCCTGTCTGGTGCGCCATTAGTGTCAATCCCATCTATAGCCCTTTTTCTAGTAGTGAACTAGGAGGTGTGTCTGACTAGTGAGAGGGCATCATTGATTCAATGTCAAAGGAAGTCTATAAGTGGAGGATCGATATGTTCATCTACGCCCTATAGAATATATGGAAGGAAAGGAGCATGTATATTTTTGTTTCGCACCCAAATGCTCATCTTGAGGTGACCATGCATGTTGCCCTAGAGGACATTAAGCAACATCATATGGTATTTGGTGGTGCCATGCCCACTATGGGTGTTGGCTGAGTTGTATTTTGCTTTTAGTAGTTCAATGGCCTCGCCGTGTTTCCCTCAAAACATGTGCCCCTATGTTCATATTATTCCTCTCTCTTTTGTCTATATTAAAAGATAGCGCTCCCGTCGGTTCCTAAAAAAAGGCAATAGTTCAGTCATTTATATTGCACTTGATCGGTAACTGAAGGTTCTAGTTTCACTCCACACCAGTATAGATATTTCTTCCCCAAAACAAGTTGATATGATCAAGGTATTTCTGCTGTATACCAATACCAACGATATCACTTGACACCAATTCTTCTATAGGCCTTTCGTGTGGTCATGAGATGTGGGGGGCTTGAGTGAATTATGAGTTGTTTCTCTATTTTTTTCCTGACTGCCCAAGTAGTGATATATGTTCATGTACCTATAAATTACACAGTGCGCGTACAATTTTTATGTTTGAAAACTCATTGTTTTATCTAGTTAAATAGTGCACTAAGTACATTACACGCATCTCGCCGATCAAAGTTTACCGGTGTAATTGTAGGCCCAATTTAGTGAAATCAGTGAGGCAAAAAATGCATTGCACACGATCCATGCATGCTTTCTCTATGTGTGATGTAGATGTGTTTGCCTGGACCCCACCTCCCCATCGCCTCTCCATTCATTTCCTATGACACGTGTTTAAGGCATTCTTTGCCATCCATCTTCAAACAGTAGCAAAAAACACTGAATAGAGGTAGAGCGTTGTACTTCTTCGTTGCGGTTTTTTTGTTTGCACCCTAGCCTGAGCCACCCTTATTTCTAAAAAATCATCACTTCCTCGTAATTTTTTGATCATTGGTCTGAAAATGATGGTCAAAGAAATGGAACAAGATGTTGTAAATTAACCTCCAGAAGTAATGTGCTAAACTATTTTAAAGAAACATCAAACATGACAAACACAGTCTTGAATATTGTGAAGGCTAGCATCAAAACATAGGAAGTACTCCCTCCGTTCGAGTTTATTAGGCCCTCTCTTATTTTGAAATAGAATTCGAACAATATACTTTTTGCAGCATATGTTTTATGTTGTGTTACTCCAATAGATGGTCAAATTTTGACCCAAAATACAAGGAGGCCTCATAAACCCGAACGGAAGGAGTAATAGCTCAGTCATTTATATTGCACTTGATCAGTAGCTGGAGGTTCTCAGTTTGACCCAACATCGATTTAGATATTTCTTCTCACAAAATAGAGTGTTATGACCTAGGGATCAAAGGTATTTCTTAGATTTACCAATGTTGTCACTTGACACCAATTCTTCTATGGGTGCTTCGTGTGGACATGAGACCTCGGGGGGTTGAGTGGGTTATGGGTTGTTTCTCTGGGGGGTTTTCTGTGTACCCAAGTATTGATATATGTTCATATATACCTATATATTACATGTGCCCATATTTTTTGTTGTTGGAAAAACTCATTGGTTTACTTCGTTAAATAGTGTAATAGGTACATGCATCTCGCTGACGAAAGTTGGCTGGTGTAATTGTAGGTCCACTATTTCGTGAAATTAACGAGGTGCATTGCATGCGATCCATTTACTCTCCCTCTATGTGTGACACAGAGGTCTTGGCCTGGACCCCACCTCCCTGTCGCCCCTCCATTCATTTCTTATGACACATGTTTCAGGCATTCTTTGCCATCCATATTCTATCAGTAGCAAAAACACGCCTAACAGGGGTGGGGGCCACTGTTTAGTGAAATCAACGAGGCAAAAGATGCATTGCACGCGATCCTTGCACTCTCCCTCTATGTGCGGCGCAAAGGTCTTGGCCTGGAACCCCCCCTCCCCCCTCTCCCCATTCATTTCCTATGACACGTGTTGCAGGCATTCTTTGTCATCCATCTTCTAGCAGGATGGTCTAATAGATAGTCAAATTTTGACCCAAAATACAAGGAAGCCTCATAAACCCAAAACGGAAGGAGTAATAGCTCAGTCATTTATATTGCACTTGATCAGTAGCTGGAGGTTCTCAGTTTGACCCAACATCGATTTAGATATTTCTTCTCAGAAAATAGAGTGTTATGACCCAGGGATCAAAGGTGTTTCTTAATTTTCGAACGTTTTCACTTGACACCAATTCTTCTATGGGTGTTTCGTGTGGACATGAGACCTCAGGGGGTTGAGTGGGT